GTAAATTTTTATCACTGCAGTACGTTTGAGTGCAATTATACAAATTTTCCTGATTTTTATTAATTTTCATGGAATACTTCAACTAAAATTGACATTTTCAATGAAATATTGAATATTTAATGACGAAATTCCCTAAAATTTCGGTGAAACTATAACCTAATAAAAATTTCCCACACGTGTACCCGAAATTTCAGTCAAAAATCATCCCCAATGCACTGGAAATAACGCACTAGAATTAATCCAGTTAATTTCAATCAATTATTCATGCCAAAGAGGATTCTCCCCATCTCCGGGCTATCAATTCTCTCCTCACCATTCACATCGAGAATTTCAATCTCTACGTTAATTAGACGATTCGTTAGAGTGAGTAACGAGAGAGCAGGGCGAGGAGACGATGCGACAGGGGCCGTGAAAAAAAAAGAAGTACAGAAGTGAAAATTACATCCAACGCCCGGATGAAAGTGCTATGCATATCCAGCGGTGGAGTGCCCGCCCCAACCCCATCGTCTCAATTGCGCATTCCCGATGAATGCCAACATGGGGTGGCACATGGAAACCGGGTAATCCCGAGGTCCACTGTGCCTGCCACTGCCAGTAGATAGCCACATGCGCCGCCACGATATTCCGACGGGGGAATATCATACGCAGACTGTATATACTGCGTGAATGCTATGGGCAATGCTTTCAACCCATGTTGCGAATGCATATAATGTCTAGTCTCGATATGACGCACACCGCAAACGATAGTTTGCGGTTTTTTCGTGTTATTTTTTTTCTTTTTAAATAGACGCACCGCTGCAGTTCATTCTAGTCTCGATGATCACCATTTTTTGTTCTCAATTGAAGTTTAAATAACTGATGCGTAGAAAATTTTTGGACTGTATCAGAGAAAAATTTCGTAATATGTAGACCATATTTATTTTATTTATTAAGTTTATTATTTTAATTATTATTTTATTATTATTTTATTTATTTATTTTTCATTTTTCAAGGCGAATATAAATTGGGAATCAATTTATATCGCCTGTTTAATATATTTAATTATTTATTATATTTATTTAATTTTTTTGCACCACAACAGTTTATTGTACTCTCGGTGATCGCCATTTTTTGTTCGCTCTATCAACTGAAGTTTGAATAACTGATGCAATGTTTAAAATTTTTACTGAAAGTTCAAGGAATTTTGTCGTTGAAAATTCATAATTTCATGGAAAAATGCGTGGGAACTGTAAATTTCAGTTTAATTTTTCCAGAAAATTCTGCGCAATTTTCTTCAATCATTGTACATTATATCTAATTTATTTATTAATTTCAGTTAATAAAAGCATTTTATTTTTGATAATTCAATTTTTTACTAATTAGCCTATTAATTTACTCAGTTTTAGTAAGTTCATTAATTTCACATTCATCACGGCGACTGTAAACTTGAAACCAGGTGACTCATCTCGTTATTTCACTTCCTTATCAAATTGAGTAATGAATCACAATTTTTATGCGGTATCTTTCGCAAAAATGGGAAATCATTTTTCATCCAGCTGTTTTATTTTCTCTTTCCTTTTCCATCTTCTCGGAGAAGAAAAGGCCTCTGAGTTTTTGCCGTCACGTCGGAAATAAATCAAGCGAGATTTTTTCGCCGGATCAGCGAGCGCGAGGTCAAGAGAGTTTTCCCTTTAAGCCACGTGGATTAAGCCGGTAATTGAACGCGTACCGCAGTAGAAAACTCGTTACGAGTGGAGATGCTGATAACGCGTTTGTGGAGCTGCCCGTAAAACGCCCTCATCTTTTTTTTTTTTTTTTTTTTTTTTTTTTTTTTTTTTTTTTTTTTTTTTTTTTTTTTTTTTTTTTTTTTTTTTTTTTTTTTTTTTTTTTTTTTTTTTTTTTTTTTTTTTTTTTTTTTTTTTTTTTTTTTTTTTTTTTTTTTTTTTTTTTTTTTTTTTTTTTTTTTTTTTTTTTTTTTTTTTTTTTTTTTTTTTTTTTTTTTTTTTTTTTTTTTTTTTTTTTTTTTTTTTTTTTTTTTTTTTTTTTTTTTTTTTTTTTTTTTTTTTTTTTTTTTTTTTTTTTTTTTTTTTTTTTTTTTTTTTTTTTTTTTTTTTTTTTTTTTTTTTTTTTTTTTTTTTTTTTTTTTTTTTTTTTTTTTTTTTTTTTTTTTTTTTTTTTTTTTTTTTTTTTTTTTTTTTTTTTTTTTTTTTTTTTTTTTTTTTTTTTTTTTTTTTTTTTTTTTTTTTTTTTTTTTTTTTTTTTTTTTTTTTTTTTTTTTTTTTTTTTTTTTTTTTTTTTTTTTTTTTTTTTTTTTTTTTTTTTTTTTTTTTTTTTTTTTTTTTTTTTTTTTTTTTGTTAAAATATATACAGATCAAAAGGCACGGAGGGAGTGGAGCGGATTAATTTCATACACGAAGCGAATTCCGAATAGAATTAAAAATTAACAGTGCGCGCATTGTTTGAGGGATTCATGAGCGGATGATTTCGTATCAACGTGGTGCGGACAAAAATGTCGCGTTTTTATCAACTCACTGCAGTCGCCCTGTTCTGCTGCCTCAAAGTGAATTATTGTTGGGGCGAACAACACACTTTCACGCCGTCAGCGCTGGGAGTGCTAATATTTTTTAATGTTCGATGGCAAGTGCTTGGGCTATCACGAAACAGTGAAATTGATGTTCTCAAGACGTGTTAATAAGACGTTTGGCCAAATTTAAGACGTTTTTTCTGACTCAATTCAGGAGTCAAGACACTACGACGAGACATTAACCCCATTAGGACACGGAATCGTAAGACGTTTTTGGTGACATCCATTTTCTTTCAATTTATTGAAGTCCTGAATTCATTAGTGGGAAGGGCGATGAGGGTGGGAATCCCTTGAAATTCTGCTTCATGACCGCGATTTTTAACGGACCAAAAATGATCAGTGAAAAAATGAATGAAGAATTTGGGAAAATAAATGAGTTAGAAACAAAAAATCTAGTGAAACTCCTGGAATGTCTAGAATGCAAGTCACAATGTCTCAACTTCAGACCGGATTTTTTTCAGTGAAGACTTCTCTCATCATCTGATATGAATCATCAACTGGCACATAATTTAATAGAATACACAATAAAACTCTCATTCGTCTGCATTTCAGAGTTTGAAATTGAATTATGAAATTCGAACTAGTATTCGCTTTTCCTCTGTCTAGCTCCATCAGAAAGTTTCTCGTTAGCGCTTATGAATTTTCACATGCGCCAGATAGTTAGGATCCATTCAGCGGTCAGGTGAATACGATCCGCTGAATGCAAGTGATACACAGGAAATGCAATTCTGTATAAATGCCGTCAACTCGAAGAAGCAAAAGCGGATGGAAAAAACGACTTGGAATAGAAATATTATCAAAAGTCACGAGAACAGCTCTAAATCTGTTGTACAAGTGAGGACAGAAAAGAAAGAAAAAGAAGAATAATACAAGACGAGATATAATAGAGAAAAAAAGGTTAAAAATGAGACAGACAGGAATGAAAATCGCTATAAAGAAAGCAATTCTGTGAAATTCAGGTCAATAGAGAAAATAAATGAACGTGTTGTGGATTTAGAAAATGAGAAGCAATAATAATGCTGAAGCAAGCGGGTAATTGCGGGATTGTTCTCTTTTAAATTGAGAAAATGTAAAAAATTTGGTCCGTTTTTTTTCCAAAAAACTAAAGTTTTCGAGGAATATCTCCGAACCCAAGGGCGATAGCCAAATTTTTGTAATAACCTTTTCCGTAGATTTCAAACCCCTCTACAAAAAAGGTTATAATACAAATTTTGCTATCTGCCTTAGATTTCGAGATATTCATTGAAAACTGGCCAATAGTCGAAATCAACTTAAACAGTTTCAAGTCCATTTCAACAATTGGCCAAATTCTACAGTTCCGGCAGAAATTACCCTCACATTTACTAAATTTCCCGAGTCAACGGAGGAAAAATTCACTATTTATCTCGCACTTTTCGCCCGAGACAGAATTACTTGACTCGTTCGTTAATTTTCCTCCAACTTTTGTCACCGCGGCCTCTCCGAAGAAGCCAAACGGAAAATGATCCAGATTCTCCCATAATAATTTCATCATCTCCCTTTGTAGTCCCACAGATGAAAAGAATAGTGAAAGATGGGAAGGGAATAGGCTCCCCCTAGCCGGACTGAACTCGCGTGTGCATTCGCTCGCGTGCTCATCTGGGACATTGACTGCATGGGAATTTGCATCGTGAGCTGCACAACGTGCCTAATAAACGATTCCCTCTGTATCAGTCAGACACGATTCCCCAACCCAGTTGGAATACACATGAAGCCCCACCATAACAGTGGTGAGGAGCAGTTCGATCTGTCTGTAACAATCAGTCGCCGATGTTTCAAGCTATCCCATTACAGAGTTTTAGATGGTACGAGGTAGGGAATTCCAGAGCACCGGAGGGTTGTTGTCTCTACCCTGAATTGGTTTAATGTTGCTGCAAATATTTGCCGATTCGATACAATCGGCAATAAGCACCCACCAGTATCCAATCGATAGCTGTATCGACTCAACATCATTGATTTTCTTTCGGTGGAGGGAGTTTAGAATGAAGTCAATGGCCCACTGACTGCTACTGTCCCGGACTCTTTAATGGATGGAAGACTAGGCAAACAGTTGAAGAATTATGATAAAAATGTAACTATTTGACCCTCTTTAAAGACCCGAAAAGCTTCTAGTGGCAATAACTGATACATTGACTGTAGAGTCAATAGGTCGGGCTCCGCTCAAATAAATGATTATTCTTTGAAGAGGAATTGGATTTCATCGCCCGGACCATTCAATATTTGGGATGGGTACATAGACGGAGGTTTTGGAGAGAATTGCGTGTTTTGGAATCGGTTAACGGATTGATATTTGACTCTGGCATACAATGGGCGAACTGTTACATGGTTCAATAATAAAAAACCTCGTCATCATCAACATTGAATTTGAGTTATCGGTTCGATTGGGAGATTGGATTCCTGATCGATATAAATGACTTACTCAGAGTAGCATTGTTGGCTCTTGATTGATCAGTCTGTGACCTGAGCAATCTCAGCCTGTTGAGCTTGCTCTGCTGTTGATCAAGCCGATGACGCAGTCTGGCGAGTCTTTCCTGCTGTGCTGGTTCCTAGAAGACAATAAACCACAATCAGTACAAACATCTCAGCAGATCAGACAAATTAAACTAATGAAATTTGAAGGAAAATCTGCCGTATCCCATTTCGCTCTCATTCCTGAGCTGACTTACTGGAAGGTGAATGCCCTGCAAAGCCCTCGTCTTAAGAAGCCCCACATCACCGCAGAGGGGTGTCTCTGTAATGTACTTCACTATCTAATGTATACGAAGAACTATCGAAATACAACGATACGACCTGGACTGGAGATACTCGTGAAAATAAAATGAGCACCCACTGCGCTCACCACCTCCACTAAACTGCGATACCCACCTCCCTGTTCCCTATTTACGGCGCCGAGAGGATAAAACCGATATGAATAGGATTATATGATATCGGGTCTCCTCCGTCAGACCCAGGAAAATTCGAAAGATGAATAAAGAAGAAAAATCTAAAAGTATAAAGCATAAAAAACCTCGACGAAAAAGTTGATCTTGCATTGTTGTGAAGGAGGTAAATAAAATCTGGATATTAAAATTTGAATTTGAATTTTTAAGAAATAGATTTTTTTTTACAAAATTTTTCGTGGAGAAATTTGTCTTTTTTAAAAATTGAATTAGTTATTGAAAAAGTTTTTCGCAGACATGAGGATCCGGCTGGACTTTTAAACACGAAAGTCAGTTCCAACATGAGTACCAACACATTTTTGTTTTGTTGCCCTAGGGATTTTTGTAATCAGTGCCATCTCGATAAATTATCTTCTTTTTTCTAATTTTTAATTAATGAGGACGATCGACATCCGCACTAGCATGCAGGAAAACTCTCAATGGAACAACTCCAAGTGTGTGAACAGTTTCTTCGTTTGGTCACTAGGGAATTTTTCTCCCAGCTAGTAACTTCTCTAAAATCATGATGGATTTACCAATTTTCGAGAAACTAAGATCGTTAATCAAGAATCATCTTCATCAAGAATGCAATAATTGTTTCTTTTTATAGTACTCCTCAGAGAGTAATGTCCGAAGAGCGCCAACTGTAAATTAGTGTAGCCCTTACCAAAAGCCGATAATGGCTCCCCGATTCCTCGACTTTATTGGTAATTTACCGCCACCTTTTTTCCCCGTGTATAATCAAGAGTAAAAACCTATTGAAGAAAGGTTCACTCATAAAAAATAATTGCAACTGAAACCCGTTCAAAGCACCAATGAACGGATTAAATGGATTAAGCTAATCAGTTTTGCCTATAACAATGTGCAGAGGAGACAACAAAGGAGATTAAAGGGAGTTAATCCCTTTAGACGTAATGTCATGTACCACCAGTGTTGGTTTGGCTCATTAATGGCATAATGAATCCAGCGATAATGAGTAGAGAAAACTGGTGAACATGGCAGAATGCTAAAGGGACGAGAGAGGACGGGCGTTGTTGGGTTAGGAGGCATTACGAAGGTGTGTTAATATCCCCTGGGCTTGGCAGACAAGTGCCCTCACTTATCAGAAGCTTATCACATTGAGCGTGATAAGGGCCCCCCTCAAAGCCACTCATTGTTATCCAATGTTGCAGTTATAACTTCCCGCCTTGTGGTCAATGTCAGACGTGATACTGACGCATTTGGAGATTCTTTGTTTCCTTTGAAATGGGGAAACATCAAGATGGTGCACTAATTGAATTGGCGGAGGTTAGGGTGTAGTTGTTGCGATAAGAGGCACTTTTTATGGGAGAGGCTCCTCTCTTGTTGACCAAGATATTGATGAGAATGCTTGTCTACGGCAAAGTAAGATTGGCTTGTCGCAAAGTTTTTCAGAACAAGCTTGATGTTTCTAAAATGTGCTGTGTTACACGCCCAGGCTGATGCTCCAATTACAAAACTGGGGGATGCATTTGCGAGAGATAACACAAGCTCAGCTCGGAAATGAGATTTTAACTACCTCGTAAATTTGTGTGAATGCTAATACCCAATTCTGTAATCCCAAAATTACTCATTAATTTTGTTTTCACGGGGGCAGTTTGGTTAAACTCTGATGAGGACTAATCGGGGCTTGCGTGTAGGGGCAGCAATTTGTGGAATAAAATGCTTTAGTTAGAAGTTACGGAACTCATTTGTGTTGGCAGAGAAACGCTTAACGGGTCGGGATTTTCATCGCACAGATTGATGATTGGGATTGTGGCGTGGGATCTCGAGAAAAAAGTAATCGCAAGATATCCTCAGCAAAAAGTATTTATTATTGAATCACAGCTTCGCTGGACGATTACCTTTCGTACAGCGAAATTTGCCGCGATTTCCCAGATAATTTTCGTCCAACTTTTCCCCCCGTGTAGAACAAATTGCTCAATCTTGCGATCTTGGTTTCTCCTTCCCGCCAGCAATCCTAGGAAATTTTCGCCCAAAGAAAGTTACATCAACTATTTCAATGGTCCATCATCTTGCCAGTCTACTCCCAAGATCTTCACCACCAGAAATGCCGATGTAAACTTGGAAATTACAGAATTGAGGGTCTTGAATAGCTTAACGAAGTGAAATTAACTTGTCATGAAAATGCATGCTGTACACAATGAAGATACACAACTTGTGCGCAACGGAAATTCATGTGTACTTAGTAATACGAGTGTGCAATTATTACGAGCAGGATATACGCAATAGTTTTTGAATTGTTCCTCATCGCCCGTAGAAATTACATAAATAATTCAAACGGACTCGTGTATTACGGAATAATTCACCTTCTCGGTGTATAATTTTGCGGTTGGTGGGTTTTAATATCGTAACAAGCTCGATATACACCATTGGAGCAAGAGTGTTGAGAAAAATTACAGCAACCAGCAGGTGCCGAAGACTCCTGAAGTTGAACAAAGAGACTCGAGTCGATTAGAAATAAGAAAGATTTGCAAATCGCTGGCTTGTTTCCTCAGATCAGATACCGCAAGCATGAGGGGATTTACAGAGAGCTGTAATATTTTTCTGGAACTTTCGCGCGGAAGGAAGACCCTTTGGTGGAGGCTCTGGACGGAACTTCTGGATGGATGGGAGTTACGTAATGAGGTCGTTCTCGTGGAAACTATCTCGTGGCATACGGAGTGAGAGACATTTGTCGATGGAATTCCCCCGTTTCTCGAGGTGTCAATTATCTACTGAGATACTGATGTCTATGGGATGCTCGAGAGGTGCTTGAAGTTACGTATTTTAACTGGAACAACGGCTTTAATATGTCTTAATTCAAGACATTAGACAGAAAATTGAAAATGCCTGAGAATAAGACGTTTTTTTTTATAAATACAAGAAAAATTGAGAAAAAAAAGAATGGAAACAAAAAATAAAAAAGAATAAATAAAATAAAACATGAAATAATAATAAATAAATGAGGACAAACTGAGAAAAATAAGTGAAGTATTTGAAAAAGAAATGACACATCATGTCATCATCACGTTGTGTACAGATTGGCACGAGAATTCCAGTGAAAATAAGGAAAAATGTCTCTCCGCACACGTTCTGACAATCTACAGCTGAAGAATTTACGAAGTTAGATGTGCACGCCTGCCCACAACTTCAAAGAAGAAAAATGCAGATACGTATACCACGAATTCTTCTCCAGATTTGGCATCCGACTTTACCAAAAGATGGCTTTCTGCGACGCACACGTGCATCAACAAACAATTATCCGTTTAAATTTGAATTTTCAATATTTACACAGCATTTGCAACAGCTCTAAAATTCTCCGAGCACAAGTGTTCAACCATGTACCCATAATTTACCTCCGTACCCGGGGAATATTTCTCCAATACATAAACAACTTGGCTGAATAAATAAAAATATTGTTTACATACCTGGGCGCCTCGAAGCACGGCCAGCCGGGCTTCTCGTTGTTCAAGGAGACGTCTCTGCTGAGCAATCTCTCGCTGTTGCCTAGCTGCCATGCTCTCGAGTTCGCTGAGCACCAGCACGGCCCCACCCCCGCCCACTGGTAACTGAAAAAAAAAACAGAAAGCAATAAAAAATATTAGTTACATTTGGCATGGAATAAAAATCCTCCACTGGAGCTCAACCCAAACACTTAATACAGAATTGTATTCATGTTTTATTAATACCGTCTCGTCGGCGTAATCTGTTCTAAAATATACGCTTTTATTATCTCATAAAATTAAATGCAACATGAGAAATTATGTATAAAAAAATGGGTAAAACGAGAGTAACGAGGGGTGAATAAATAAAAGTTGAATAAAATTTATCGAGAAAATCGCGGACTATTTTATTGTGTGAGAGGTAATTGTGGAGCGAAATTGGAATTCAATGAAAAAATACTTTATGTCATTAGGCCCGATAAACCGTGATTCTAACCTCGCTTCGCTCGGTTAGATCGCGGTTTTTGGGCCCAACGACATAAAATAGCGTATATCACACGGCGATAAAAGCATTATCTGGCGAATGTGATTATAATCCGAGCCGAAGGCGAGCCGTTAGAAGGACGGTGGCGATATACAGTAGTATATATATACCTGTAATAATAATAATAAGAATAATGATGATAATAGTAATAATAAAATGTAATAATTATAAAACTGAAAAATCAATTATTTGAAATAATAATAATTCTTTTCAGGAAAATACAATGATAGTTTTGTTTTTTTTTTTAAGTATTATCTGGCAAAGCCATATTCGCCAGATAATACTTTTATCGCCTAATGACATAATGTACTAAATTTCATCGCTTGTGCGTAAAATAAAATTTTATCGATGCCTTGCGTCCGCAAAATTCAATTTTTCATACTTTGTGGGGGAAAATAGGGGTTGACCCTCGTGGGAAAAGTGTTCTTTGACCCTTGTGAGAGTAAAAAAAAAATTTAATCACTTGTGCGTAAAGTGAAATTTTACGGACGCTTCGCATGCGCACGACGGGGCGTAAAGCTTCGCTTTAGGCAGCCGTGCATAAAACCAATTATTTTAGCAGGTATCACATAAAATAGGATTACATGTGAGTGCGAAAAAGTGGAACTTTACGCACTAGTAACATAATATAATATTACGAAATTACAAAATTATTACAAAATTATCCCGGAAAAACAATTGTTTTCTGGCGGTATGCCTTTTAATAAATATTTGACAGTGCCCCGTGAATCCTCATTGATAAGTCCACCTCTCTTGTCCCAATAAAAACAATCAGAGAAGAGTGCAACATAAGAAAAGAAATCATCTCAGTGAGGGTACACTAAAAAGTGCAACGAAAAAGTTTGACAAGAGATTATCGAAAATCCAGACGTGTCTCCCCCGAGACATTTTTATCCGATATCCGCAGAGCCCTCGTGGTGGTGGTGGTGGTGGTGTGTACCTCTGACGGGTATTGAATTTCTCACTGAGAGATAATTTTCGTGGCTTCTTGGCGTGTGGAATGCTACGAACTCCACCACCATATTCTTACCTTCGAACTCGTACATGTGTAATGGAGACTGTTTGTGTAGAAGACGCCACTGTCCAAACCACAAGTGTCGACAGTGTGAAGGGCATTTGGAGGTTGAGGCTTGTGTACACCGAGGTGAAGTCAAATGTGGGTGGTAAAATGTGCATGGTTATGGTACACAACCTCGGTGATAAACTGCCGGCTTCCTGTGGTCTATCCGACAGGGGTTTTCCTGATGGATACAGAGGGGATATGGAAGGGTCCTGATATTGGACGATTATTCCTGAGCCATGACGAATAGCCTATTTATGTTCCTCAAATCCCTATCCATTCTAAAAAAGGCATGGGCAATATCTCGAACGAATGGAGAGAGTAAGGCGGTTTTCATGAGTACAATCGTCTTGCGTCGAGTTTCCATGAAGCTCGGCTAACAAACAAAAGAGAATTTAATGCCATTCTATAAAACATGAATAAACGAATCATAATTCTGTAGTGAATTGGTAAACTAGGATAAGTGCATTTCAACTGAGGACAGTTATCAAGCGATATCTCGTAAATAAAAATAGATATCGAAATTTTTATTGGAACCTTTTTTGTAGAGGGAGATGTGGGCTACAAAAAAGTTCCTGACAAAAATTTCGATATCTGTTTTTATTTACGAGATATCGCTTGATAATTGTCCTCAGTTGAAATGCACTTATCCTAGTTTACCAATTCACTACAGAATTGTCCAAATCATTTAGGTCAGAGGAAAATAAAATAATTCTACTTTCTTAATATTGTGTTTACTAAGGTTTTCTTCGAACAAAGTTGATTAGAATTAATAGCTAGAATTATGAGATTATCTCACATTTTTGACGTTAAGGATACGAGAATCTGAATGCAATATAGTGAAAATGATGATCGATTTTTTCACTTTGAACAGATAATATTAATATCCAAATACAAAATTTCTGATATGAATAAAAAGAAGCTGTCACTCAATATTCCAAATGAATTTTAATTTTTAATTTGGTGCTGAAAACACGAGATGACAATATTCTAAGCACGGAATTATATTGATGAGATGAACAACAGATTAATTGAATTATCGTGTGAACTAACTAAGAATTGATAACAGTGTGGGCACGCACTTTTACCAGAGTATCAGTGAGCATAGGAATTAGAACATGAGCAAATCATCTATTGTAATATGAAAATTTAACAGCTGATAAATTGGGGCATATGATTCTCATCGGTCGTATCGCTTTTTGCAATGAGAATGATCATAAACAATGAATTGCTGTTGGATTCGTGTTTCAATAAAATAAATAAATAAATCTCTCATTTTTCTCTGAAATGATGGCATCTGAAAATGATCGGATTAACTCATAAAACTGAATGATTTATGCTGAAAACACACAAGCCCTTGGAAATCCAGCAAAGAGATGCTACTTCTGCTTTAAATGGCAATTCCGAGTACTTCCTCTTGCCCGACTATGGAGGTCCAACTAATGATATATAACATTTTGCAGAGGCGTGTAAACCCACCCCTGCCGAAGGGGCTTTTCCTGCGGTGGGTGAAGGCGGATGAAAGTAACCAAACGGTTGAAAGCGTAGTTGGGGAATCGAGGGGAGAGCAGGACACACTGGTGAGGAGTCCCTCTGCTCGGAAAGAGCTGCACGTACACCGGCATTCCAGGAGGGAACTCCGAGGGTGGGAGGTAGATGGTGGTAGTGGTACTTGATAAATTGACTCTGCGGTTTTTCGGATGTACGCCCCCCTCCATAACGCCCCCAACGAATATAAACTATTTGCGTAATGAATGACAATTTTCGTTGCTATTAGATTTTGCGGAAGAATTTTGGGGAAGTGTTGAGGAATTTTGGGAGAATTCAGTTGGGGTGGATTTTAACGGATAAGGATGGAAAAACGAGGGTCTGAAATTGAGACACTTTTGTCCCCGTCGTTCAGACGTTTGCGCCTCAATTTAAGACATCAAGACATGCATTCTAGGTGTCTTAATTAGGTTAATGTCTTGTCGTAGTTCTGCTGTCATAAATGACTAGTGACGGAGCAGTCTTCAAGTGAACTCAGACAGTTTGCTTCCGAATGGAATTTTTATAATGATGTATTTTAAATTATATTGTATGATTCAACATTGCCTCAATCTTGACAGGCAACAGTACCCCAACGTTGATAGTCAACATTGCCACAATGTTGGCAGCCAACATTGCCACAATGTTGACACCCAACATCGCCCGAATGTTGAAATTGTTAATCTATCCATAAATATTGGTTTAAAAATAAATTTTTTCAACGACAGATGATGCAAAATTAGTTATCCTGGCTCAAAAAATCGTAAATTTTGGATTTGGAGAATACAATGCCCTAGAAAATGTCCTAAATTTGATGACTTGTATTCCCTGACATCGGGAAAATATCTCACCTATCGACCGCCTCGTTCCCAGACCGAAAAACGTCTTACTTCAAGACATTCGACATTTCATTCTCCACGAAATTGCCGATAAGCCCCATTTGCGTCTAATGTCTCCAATTAAGCCGAAGTCTTTCATTTTTGATTCATTCTCCGACGTCAGCCAATCGTGAATAACCACGCCGCATTATTCTTCACCAGAGAGCTTGCACCCGCCGAATTTTCTCAAGAAAATTGTCAGTCAGACGTTTTCATCTCTGGCATTCCGAATTTTTAACATTTCACCATTACAAAACCCCTCATCGCCCCCTTTGTCACGTTTGACATAACACATTTGAGTGTTCGCGGCGCGTCAAAGCGTGAAAAAGGGGGAGAGGGTGAGCCCCGGAATTCCAAGGTCGACGAGTTGTCGATGCAAACGTCGAGAAATCCCGGGGAGAGAGCCGCGCAAAAATTAAATGTGTAATTCAGCTCGGCAGTGCAATTACACGAGCATTTTCCTTTTGCCCCTATTGTCAAGCTTTCCTGTCACGTGAAAATGATGAGCGGATTTTTCCCCGGACCTTTCAATGGAGAAGCAGCTTAATTGCGCTTTTGATTGAAATATTTTTCATCAATTTCTCCCTCCTCCCCCCGGCCCCCTCTCAGGATCATTAATTAATTACCTTGAAAATGTGGAGCTATTATAATTACCTCGGGAGGTAGTTTGCGGGGTGCTTTTGAAGTGTGGCTTGAGGATGAGTGGAAAAAACGGCGAGATCACTTGGGGTAGGCTACAGCAAAAGACCTAACGTGAAACTCTCTAGTGACTACGTATCCTATATATCCCACAAGGTTTCTTGATAAACGAGCGCCTTTATTGAAGTTTGCTGACAAAGGGGAAATGAGAAGGGATATAGTTGCACGTCTCGCATACCCTCACTTATGGCCACTAAACCAAAGGTGTGTTCTCCCCACCCACATATCGCTGAACCAAATCCAATAATGTCGCAAAATTTCCCCCCGACGCTGCTATGAAAATAAAACGACATATGAATTTTATTCATTTTTTTTCACTCGTTTTGCTCTCCAGCTTGTTCTCATTTCTATCATTTCTCGTTCCAACAATTTTGGAAACAGATTGTGCACGCGGGGACTGGAACAGAACAGGAGAGAA